TCTGTTCGTAATACTTGTCATATCCTGTTGGAATTTCACTTACCTATCTGTGATCCCCATTCAACTGTAAGAAGGACTTGATGGGTTGTACATTCCAGTAGTGTGAGGTAGACAAGAGACAAGTAAGCACATAAGATGCTTTCACAGTTTTACAGATTAAGCCTTACGAACCATTCATACAAAGCTCCTTCCCAATCTCAGGTCAGATAAATACTCACCAATATTTTCCTTTGTTTCATGTTTTCATCATTTGTATTATGCTCAAATTCACTTAAATTCACTTATAGGATATTAGGTGATGTTTGCCGTTTCTCCCCCCAAAATTAGTGAACTGATTTTAGCACCATTAGAATTAAAAAATACTCTTCCTTTACTCTCTAATTTATAATGATGTCATCATATATTAAATTTATATTTATAATATATTTATGTGTTTTCTGTTCCATCGATCTATCTATTCCTATACCAGCCCCACTGTGGCTATTGTGGCTTTGTGAGAGCTTTGATATCCAGTAAGGTGCTACACCACCACTCACCACTACCACTCTCCCAATTTACATTTTGTGACTGTAACTGCACTAAAGCTACAAGTAAACACAGAAGACAATTACCCTGTTTCTAAAGAACACAACCTCCTTAGATCACTCTCCTAACATACCCTCCTTCTGTAGGGAGTCAAGAAACCCAGGGTTATGCAGAAGCATCAGAGAGTCCAAAGAGAATCTACAGAAGTTGTAAAATATGCCTAAGCCAAACATTACAGCAGACCTAAATAAGGGATTTTTTTTTTAAGATAGACCATCTGCCCGAAACAAAACTGAAATCCTCAGCCTCTATTCTCTGTACCTTTCAGCTTTGTTTCTCTGGGAATCTGTGCTTGTGAGAGTATGATTATCCTAACCATTTACTACCATCCAAAAACCCACTGCCATTGAGTCTATTCTGGCTCATAGCAACCTTACAGGACAGAGTAGAACTGCCCCATAGGGTTTCCAAGGAGTGCCTGGTGGATTCGAACTGCCAATCTTTTGGTTAGCAGCCATAGCTCTTAACCACTATGCCACCAGGGCTCCTTTACTACTGTATGGCACTCCAAATACTGTATCTCATTCCCAACTATCTTGGTGTAATGTCCAGGACACTCAACTCTCCTGGTTTTCCTCCCTCTCTGGCTACTCCATCGGGCTCTCCTTTGCTGGCCAGCCTCATCTTCCGAACTCCATGCACTGAGAGGCCCAGGACTCAGTCCCTCAATCTCTTATTTCTCTGCTCACTCTACCAGTGATCCCACCCAGCCCTAAGGTGTTAAATATCATCTGTACCCCAGACTCATATCCAAATACAGACAACAAATTTCTATCTCCAGCTCTGGCCTATCCTGAGATATCTGAGGACAGCTCTTACCTGCTGTGATGGTTAAGACTGTGCGTCAACTTGGCTGGGCCATGATTCTGTTTTGGCAGTGGTATAATGCTGTGATCACTTCCCTGTTGAAATGTGATGGACTCTGCCGAGTGGTACCGGCGGGGGAAGGGCCTGTGGCGGCTCACTGCCCCCTCAGCCTTCATCTCTCCACCCTCCTCCGCCTAGTTCCCTCTTGCTTGCCTTGCTGGGGCTTTTGCTTGTGCTAGATCCTGAAGCTGACTCCTGTTCATCTGACTGCTTCACTCCTCAGTGGCTTCCCATAAACTTGGGGAGAAGTTTAAGCACAACCACCAAGGCTCCTTAAAGCTCACCTTGCACACTTCTCCCATCTCACTTATCCTCACCTACCAACCAACCAGGCGGAACTCCTAATGTTCTCAGGATATGCCAAGGGACATCAGGCTCTATGCCTCTACACATACCACATACAGTTCTCTGCCTGAAGCTTCTTTCTTCTCCTACCCAAACCCAGCTAATGCGTACTCTCCCTTTATATGTCTGTACAGGGTCTGCTCTCTGGGGAGTCTTTCCTAATCTGCCAGTCTGACTTAGGTGTCCCAGCTCTGTGCTCCCAAGTAATCCCTGCCAACCTTGGCCATTGCTCTGTATGTTCCTTACAGATTAACCCAGTGTAACCCCACTATATAATAAAGAACATTGAATGCCAAGATTGGGTCTTTCAGCTGGACTCCTAGTAAATAATGCACATCTTGGGCACAACAAGAACTCAGCTGCTAATGGTAGGTAAACGACGAAACTCAGAATTGGGTGTTAGAGCACATACTATGGAAATGCACCATTTGTGTTATCATGTGCATTACAATAAGTAATAAATCTTCCTGAGAATGATTTCCTTACAGAACTTTTTCATTCCTGAAATTCTACACAACCCAGGCATGGGTATAATAGCACAACTACACACAGCTCCCATTTGCAAGACTGAGCCTGTAGTCAAAAACCCAGAAAGCCAACTTTCCCATTATACTAACGTAGCACCTTCTATTATTCTGCTTCTGTCCCCAAAGCCAAGTCCAGATCACTCTAGAAAACTCAGTTCTTCAGGTCAGCCATTCTGAAATAAAACCCAGAAGTCAGCTGTACTTGACAAAGCCAGATTTGTGCATTCCAGGGATTCAACCAGGTCTTCTAAAACTAAAATCAAGCAGTCTTTTTTATCAGAGTGTAGCAGTGTCTCTTAGCTTAGAAGTGGAGTGGGCTATTCTTAAGAAAACTTTTTGCAATCAGACAATTTTACTAATCAGAAATTCCTTGAGACTCATCTCCCCATCATATTTTTATAATAATCTTACAAAGAACCAGGATATATTGTTTGAAAGGGTATTACATTTCAGACTTTTGGAAGGCTTTACCAACTTCCCACTTTTCTTGTTAAAGATCTTAATGTTATTTCTTGTTCAGTCTTTCACTCAAGATCCAGTAGTTAATAAAAATTATAAGCATTAGCCTTAAGATACAGTGAAGACAGTGGTATTATTAAAATGTAAGAATCAGAAGGTTCTAAATTTAAATAATGTCTAGTTGAAGGAAAATGTTAAGACTTGTCATAATACGGAAAACACTATTCATTTATAATGAAATTTGATGATGTTTTAGGAATGTGTTTTAACTAAGTTTTGAATTAGATTTTCATTTTATACTATTGTTTTCTATTAAAAGTCAATCTTAAAAATAAAAAGGATGAGACATGTCAGAAGCCAACCTGAAAGAACTCATAGGCCAAAGCTTGAACAATCTGAGCAACAAAATAGTGATAGTTTGAGATAATAACCTAAAGAACAAAATAAATATCAGTGAGTCCATACTGATATAAATAAGTAACAGAATAAAGACATAAGTAAGGAAGAAGGGACAAATATTCCTTACAGAAAAATTCCAAATAGCACATGCAGAAGGAACGAGGGAAATAGAAACCATTAGAACACCACATTGCTGAGGGCAAGATCCAAGGATGAAGGCTAAAATTAGTGGGCAAAACTTTAAGAAACAGGATATTTGCATAGTCACAAAGTATCTCCTCCCAAATGTTTATAAATTACTGTGGTACTTTTAACAGCTGCCCCAAAAGTCCTTGATACTCTTTCCTCAGAGAGATGGAGCTTAATTCCCTCTTCTTGAGGGCTAGTCTTAGTGCCTCACTTCTAACGAACAGAAACTTAAGAGTGCAGAAACCTGGCAGACACCACCTTAACCAAGTGATGGAGGTTACCACCAGTGATAAGTCACGCTGATATCGTATCATATGATGTGATGAGAAGAGCACTTCACCCCTGCGGTATTCTAAAATCAGTAACTTCAGTCTAATCATGAAGTTGTCAATGCTTTCACTCTACTAGGATCAACACCCAGGGAAGCAGCAGTCAAGAAATCAAACATATTGCATTGGGCAAGTCTGCTGCAAAAGACCTCTTTAAAGTTTCAGAAAGCAAAGATGTCACTTTGATGACTAAAGTGCATCTGACCCAAGCCACGGTCTTTTCAATCTCCTCATATGTATGCAAAAGTTGGACAGTTAAAATGAAAGACAGAAGAAGAATTGATGCCTTCAAACTGTGGTGCTGGAGAAGAATACTGACTATACCAGGGACTGCCAAAAGAACGAACAAATCTGTCTTAGAAGAAATACAACCAGCATGCTCTTTAGAAACGAGGATAGTGAGGCTTTAAATCGCTTACTTTGGACATATTATCAGGAAAAACCAATTGCTAAAAATGCACATCATGTTTGGTAAAGTAGAGAGCCAATGAAAATAAGGGAAACCCTCAATAAGATGGATTGACACAGTAGCCACAACAATGTATTCAAACATACGCACAATCCTGAAGATGGTGCAGGACTAGGCAATGTTTTGTTCTGTTATAAACAGGGTCAGCATGAGTGGGAGTCGATTCAATGGCGACTAACAACATCATGAGAAAACATCAGACAAATCCAAATCGAAGGCCATTTTACAAAACATCTGACCAGTGTATTTCAGAAGTGTCAAGGTCATGAAAAACAAAAACAAAAAAAGACTGAGAAACTGTCAAGAAGAGAAGACTAAGGAGACATGACAACCAACGTGACGGAATGCAATGGAATCTCAAATTGGATCTCGGAACAGAAAAATGGCCTGAGTGGAAAAACTGATGAAATCCAATTAAAGTTTGTAGTTTAGCTCATAGTGCACCATTGTGTAATTTCTCAGCTTTGTCAAACATACTACAGGTATCAGTAGAGCTGGGTGATGGTATACAGGAATTCTCTGTATAATCTTTGTAACTCCCTGGAAATCTAAATTTATTTCAAAATAACAAGTTTTCAAAAAGTCAATCTCTCTGTTAGCGCTACTGGAATAAACTGCTGGTCTTCCACCTAAATGTCATTATGAACGTGTAGTTATGGACAGGATTACGTGTCATAATCATTTCTTAATGATTCTCACCAATTTGATGTTCCTATGGTTATCATATAAGACAAAATATATAAAATAATGCCTTTCTCCTTGTGAAGATTTTTGGTTTTCCATAGTAATTTATTTATGTACCAACATTTTATATCTATATATCACAGTGGCATCTGTAACTCCTTTCAATGTGTTGATCTTAAAATCATTAAGAAATCCACGTAAAGAGGGATAAAAACATTTTAATTGTTGAAATACATTGGTAAACTGAGTAATTTACATTGCAGTACTAAGTAAAGACACATGGTCATTGTCAAATTGAGAATTTTCCAAATATCCCACTCACCATCCATGACAAGTCCTTGAAAATAGTACAGAATTAACATAATGCGATGCCATGACTATACGAAGGTAGAGTGGGAAACTCAATAGCTATGAAGTATTTGTGGTTACATAAGCCTTGGAGTAAAGGAAACAGGAATTTAATCAAAATGGTCATATGGCATGCAAATTTAAAGTAGTTTGTTTTTCAATATTGCAATGGATTTCATTGTTCCTAATAAAGGAAATTCTCTGACATTTCAATAAAGCTGAAAACCAAATAGTAAAAAAGGGAAAAAGATAACAATAAGAATCAATCAAACAGTGTTACAGCTAAAAATTAATGTGAAGTAGAAATAGTGAAAGATAACAGACAAATATATTACTTTAGGTAGTTTATTATAAGCCTTATTATTCTAAGTTACAAATAGGATATGGATTTTGTTATATAAAAATTATCAAAAAAGTATCAGTGAAAAGATATGATCTTCATGAACTGTGTTGAATGGCCAGGGTGAAAATGCTGCCAGAGCACAGCCAACCAGACGGGGCAGTAACAGTTTCTATGACAGTTTGTTAATTTGTCTTTCATGAGTCACCCACAGAAAGTTCCATAAATGAGTATACTGTCTAACCAATTCCCCTCTACTACCACAGAATTCAGCATGTACCCATGGTTTTAACGATACACTAAGATTTTGGGGTTGGGGGCAGGGGTCCAACTGTTTAGAATTTACTTGGAAATGTCTGTGCACAGTATAATATCCCGCAGAACCAAATTCCTTCTGAATTTCTTCTGAATCTTGATTTGTAAGCTATGAAGACAACAAACAAAAAATGAAAAAAAGAGTTAGCAAGCTTGGAAAGGTACGACTTAGATACAAATATATCAGTCCCCGGGTGGCATAAATGGTTAAGCACGCAACTACCAGCCGAAAGGCTGGCAGTTCAAACCCACCCAGAGGCACCTTGGAAACCAGGACCTGGCAGTTTGCTTCCAAAAGGTCACAGCCACTTGGACATACATGGTGTTGCCATGAGTCGAAACTGACTTCATGGCAACTAACAACGAGCCTACAGTCATTTACTGATTTTAAGTAAAACACATGTAGCATTTACTCAATATTTATTTAAGATTTAGTATGCACCCAGCACGGTGCTAAGCACTGGATATTTATATAAAAAGACAAAGTTAAGTGGAGAAAGAGACTTATAAATTTACAATTAAAATACAACATGATAAATGATGGCCAAACCTAGCTGCATGTCAACATCACCCATATTAAAAATACAAGCTATTCAGTCACAACCCCAGCCTTACCCTACTTGGTTAGAACCTCCTGGGAGGATCTGTTGTGCGCGGTCGAGTCAATTCTGATTCATGGCGACCCAGTGCGACAGAGTAGCTGGGTTTCCTAGGCTGTGATCATTATGGAGGAGCCCTGGTGTGCAGTGGTTAAGCACTTGGCTACTAACCGAAAGGTCTGTGATTTGAACCCACCAGCCGTGTCAGGAGGAAGATGTGGCAGTCTGCTTCTGTAAAGATTACATCCTTAGACCCTGTGGGGCAGTTCTACTCTGTCCTGGGTCTCTACAAGTCGGACCTGACTCGACGGCAAAGGGTTTGGTTTAGGAGGGTAAGGAGTAATGTGTGCTTGTTTCAAACTACATTATTTTTTCTATTTGATGTAAATAATAAAATAACTTCTGCAGAGGGGAAAAGTAGCAGGAAACCAAGAAATCTCTAGGGAGGGTTAAAACCCTATCAAAAATACTGGAAACAGAAAACCTCCAGTAAATTCCCCAAGGAACATCCTGATTTGGCTGTAGGTACTAGGGAATAGGAGCCCTGGTGGCGCAGTGGTAAGAGCTCAGCTGCTAACCAAAAGGTCGGCACTTTGAATCCATCAGCCACTCCCTGCAAACCCTATGGGGCAGTTCTGTTCTGTCCTACATGGTTGCTATGAGTCAGAACTGATGCGACAGCAGTATATATATATTTTTAATACTAGGAAATAAACCTCCATAATGCTGTTGCCTTTAGGAGAAAGCCTTAGAAGAAGAAATAGGCTACTTCATAGTTGTTGTCTTAAAGTGTTTACAGCTTCTGTGTTCTCTCCCCACAGCAATGAAAGCTTATTTGCCTACACTTGTGAGCTTATTCTGTACCCCTACCCCATCCCAATCACCAACACCAGTACTGGCCCTATGCAAGAAGCTGGTTCAATATTAAACAATCTTGCCTCTGGTCTGCCAATGGCTGGATTCTTGTTACAAAAAAAATAATAGCATGATGATGGTGATAATGAGGATGACAATGAGGATGACTACGGTGATACCAGAAGCTACCATCTATTATTTAATCCTAACAACAATCCTTCAAGGTAAACATTAGCTCCATTTTACAGATTATGAAGCTGAGGCTACTATGTAGCTAGTGAGTGGAAGAGCCTGAATTCAAATCCAATGCTGTCTGACTCCCAAAAGAGAGTGGGCTACATCAGGAGATAGGGCACTCCTGACCACTGGAGGTTTCTGAGGTTGGATGTCATTCAGCAAGACTGAAATACAATGAGGATTCAAATATCAAATGCATTGCCAAACCAGATGACTGGAGACTCTTTGCTTCTATGGAAATGCTGCTCAGTATATTGTAGAGAGGGTAGGTAATAAATGAAAGTATTTTTCTCTTGTCCTTGTTACTGTACGTCTTACTATAATTCTAACCCCAAGACCTTCACCAAGATCCCAGGTCCACGATGTCTCATCTTTTAGACAATGATTTCTATTCGTATTGAACATGTTTTATACTGTCCAACCTGTAAACTCAGTCTATGATCTTTACTATTTGTTCCTGTGTAACTGCATCTCTGTACACCGGAGATAGCTCATCTCCATTAGATTTCAGGTACTGATACATTCCCTCTCTGAATATTAACTAATTCCTGGCTACTGCCAAACAACGTTCATCCTAATCTAATACCCAGTCCTGCCCTCTCTCTGGTCTCTCCCTATATCTCATTTCTCAAGCCCTAGTCCCGCAGAGTTTTTGGCAATGAAGAAGTGTGAAGCCTCAGGTTCTAGGTGGACCAGTTTTGTCTGCTCTTATTAAGCGAACTGAACTGCATTCAAAACAAATGAAATGGAAAAAAAGGAATTGCAAAGAAAATTGATCTACTGATCTGATCATTAAAGAATAAAATAAAACATGCTTGACTCCATATATTTAGCCATGAGACTAGTCCTTCTAAATCTTAAAGTTTAAGATTTCTTAGAAACACATAGCAACATCTACAATTCACTCATCATCAATATATAGAATTATTTAGAAAAATATACAATACCTCTTGAGTACTGAGTTATATCATTTTCTTCTAATCTTAAAGAGAAAATTAAGAAAAATTACATGTTCAGATTATATAGAACATATTCTAGTTTCCTATAAAACTATAAACAGCAGTAACATACATGTATTCCCTAGTCTAAATTACAAAGTAGCAAAATAGCAATGAGGAACACAATTATAGAATGTTAAAAAAAAATAATGCAATATGACCTCATGTGCAAACTAAACATACTAACAGTTCTTTAAAACTATACATAAGACAACTGTATAGTGATTAATAAATTAGTATTCTCTACCAGGAGCCTCACTTAAAATTTTACTTAAGCAAGAAGCTATCTACAAGGTTACAGTCATACTTATTATTTAAAAGGACTTCATTAGTGCCGCAAGTACTAACACATTTAATTATATAGTGGGCAGTTATTTTTCCTCTTAATCACCAGACTGCTTATCAGTTTGTCATCTTTATATTACAGGAATTTATTCTTATGTTCTACAAAGATTCCATAAAACTATTAAAGCATTAGCTTTGATTTTCAGACTGATCATCGATATTAACAAGAAATTAAAAATATCCATGGAGCACAGCCACAAATAGAGGCTAGACTTTGCTTTGGAATTATTGTAACATGTGGGTGGTAGTTAAAACAAATGAATTACAATGAACAGATCATCTTTATATACAGTTCACTACAACTACTTAACTGCAGAGCTTGAGTCCAGCAAGTTGAAACATAAATTTCATATTCTTACACAAAATGCAAAAATAAATATTCAGAGAGAATAAATGCTACATGATTTTACTTACTTTTTTGCACAGTCTTTGTTTGATTGGACACCATACTGACAGCTTCAGATGGAAGGCCAACATATACCCCTCCATAGTTTCTTGATTAAAAGAAGCAGATACAGAAAAATCAGACCAATTTAAATGATTCTACATATTTATAGAAAGCAAGAGCATCATGGAGTACTTCAAATAATTGTAGAATTATTAAAATGATTCATTATTTTTCAAAAGTAGAATTCAGGATATTATTGCCCTTGGGAATATAATTGTTTTTTCTAGGCTAAAAAGAGGCTATACAAAAAAAAGAAAAAGAAAGCAAGCTGTATTTACTTAGTAAAATGTTTGGATATCTTAGCTGCTGTGAGAAAGAAGAAAACCCGGAATGCTATAATTTAGTAGAGTAATAAATGTCAGTAGAGTGGTATGTTATAGTTAGTTGACATTCATCAAGAATTTAAAGCGGTGAAAATGGTATTAGGCGCTATGGATACACAAAAACATGTTACCTATAGACATAAAATGCAGCATCATGAGAGTAGAATGCAGTTAATCAGAAGAGGAAGGACAGAAAAGGCTGCAAGAACAAAGGCAAGTCATCCGAACAGAACAGCACATACAAAGGCCAAATGATAGAAATGAGACAGCTCATGTGCACAGGACAAAAACCAAGCTTGCTGGAAAGAAGCAAAGATCATAATTCCTGGGCAAGATCCCTTTCAGATCACATGCTCCTACCTGTATTCTCTGTGCCAAAAGTTTTCCTGGTGGAATCTGTATTATTGGAAATGTGCTACAGTGTGTTAAATCCATGAGGCATGGCCAAAATTATTCAAATTAAAGCCAGCTGCAATAGCAAACATACCTCCTCTTGTCATCTTCTGTTACTGATTCTTCTGTTCTAGAAGGTCAAAAACATTTGCTATAAGCCATTTCATCACACAGCCAAAGACTACATTTTTGGTTATGGGGAAACTGAATTAAAAGTTAAGTCAATTTTGTTTATTTTAAGTGGTCCTATCGAGTATGTGTGGATTATAACAAATTATGGATAACATTACAAAGAATGGGAATTCCAGAACACTTAATTGTGCTCATGAGGAACCTGTACATAGACCAAGAGGCAGTAGAGTAGTTTGAACAGAACAAGGGGATAATGCATGGTTTAAAATCAGAAAAGGTGTGTGACATGGTTGTATCCTTTCATCACACCTATTCAGTCTGTATGCTGAGTAAATAATCTGAGAAGCTGCACTATATGAAGAAGAATGCAGCATCAGGATTGGAGGAAGACTCCTAAACAACCTGCATTATGCAGATGACACTATCTTGCTTGCTGAAAGTGAAGAGGTCCTGAAGCACTTACTCATGAAGATCAAAGACTACAGCCTTCAGTATGGATTAAACCTCAACATAAAGAAAACAAAAATCCTCTTAACTGGACCAATAAGCAACATCATGATAAACGGAGAAAAGATTGAAGTTGTCAAGGATTTCATTTTACTTGATCCACAGTCAACAGCCCGGGAAGCAGCAGTGAAGAAATCAACTGACATACTGCATTGGGCAAATCTGCTGCAAAAGACCTCTTTAAAGTGCTGAAAAGCAAAGATGTCACTTTTAGGACTAAGGTGCACCTGACCCAAGCCATCATATTTTCAATCACCTCAAATGCATGCAAAAGCTGGACAATGAATAAAGACCGAAAAAGAATTGATGCCTTTGAATTAACGGTGTTGGCGAAGAATACTGAATATACCATGGATTGCCAGAAGAAGAAACAAATCTATCTTGGAACAGGTAGAGCCAGAACGCTCCTCAGAAGCGAGGACGGTGAGACTTCATCTCAAGTACCTTGGACATGTTATCAGAAGGGACCGGTCCCTGGAGAAGGACATCATGCTTGGTAGAGGGTCAGCGAAAGAAAGGAAAAACCCCAACGAGATGGATTAACACAGTGGCTGCAACAATGGGTTCAAGCTTAGCAATGATTGTGAGAATGGCACAGGACTGGGCAGTGTTATGTTCTCTTGTCCACGTGGGCTATGAGTAAGAACCGACTCAATAGCACCTAACAACAACATTTCTGTAACACAGTATTCTGTCTTCACTTCAATCATTTATACACTACAAAAATCAGTAATTATCTACTTACCAAATATGCAAATCCAGCAAACACCAAAAGCTCAACTGCCAAACAAAATGAAAAACAACGCAGCAGAGATTAGAAAGAGCACATAAATTAGGCATCAGGAAGCCTTGGCTGTTGTCTCGGCTGTGCCATCCACCGCCTATGTGATGGACAGACTGGGCAAGCTGCCTGCCCGTGCCTCATCTGCCAAATAAGAGGGTCGACCAGATGGTCCCCGAGAGCCCTTCCAGTCTGAACACACTGATTTTGTGTATCTCATACCAGTTCAGTGGCACAACTATATGTAGTAAAAGATTTATTTAGTGCAAAAATGGATGAAAGCAAGTTTGACTTCTTTTTATCTAAAAACTGACCATTTTCCACATGATTTACTGCAAACAGGAGGGGACGTTTAAAAGGAAGTTTTTAGAGGGAATCATTACTTGAAAATGTACAGTTACTTTCCTTGCATAAGAGGAATCCATAATCTACTTGATGTTCCTCAGCACATTTATTAGAGGACCAAGAAGCTTTCCATGAAATACTAGTAAGTGGGAAAACTCTGCCGTTTCTAAGTTACTTCTCTGAAAGAAAAACAAGATTCAAATGTATCTGGCTGAACTCTACATGTAATTCTAAGGGGCTTCGGTCAAGAAGAAAGCAGACTGAAAATACATAAATCTTCTAATTGAACACTGAGTCTTCTAACTTAATCTTCTAGGGATTTTCTAAATGTGGCTTCACTCATTTGAAAGTTGTGAATATTTCACATATAACTGCATATACACATGAGATTTTGCTTTACTTAAACAGCCAGTAACTCCCCAAGTCCATAAAGAAGAAAAGTATAGATCTGGTAGTTATCTGGTGAGGGCTGGCCATGCCCCAATAGGTAATACTCTAATAGAGTACAAAAAATCCACCTTCAGATCTGATTTATCCAAACTGAGCACATAATCTAAAATTGTCAGACAATTATCACCTTCATTCATTTCATGCTATGTAATAATGTTGGTCTAAAACAACATGGATCGTTTTTTAATTCAAAGGTGTCAAAATCATATTATGTCAGAAAATGGTGTTATTCTTATTGATGTGGTCTAACATAGTGTTGTTTACTACTTTTTAATTAAAATGGATTTTTAAGCCTTTAGTATGGATAATTGGAAAATGATGGTGACAAACTTTTTCAAGATTATCACAACTGTTTACTTTGGTCCTGAGTTACTAAAGTTATCATGAAGTCATTTTTGAAGGTACATATTACTGGTAAATTTGGATATATACAATGTCTCATACTTTCTGCCAAAGCTGTTCTTTTCACATCCAATTACATATCTCTCTGAATTCTTTTTCCTTTTGCCTAATTCTGCTTAAGGAAATATTCAAGGTTTTAAAATATATTTTAACTTCCTCAAATGTAAGTAATTTATTTTTACTCTATTATCACTTATTAATTATTCAATACTCTAAAACCTAATATGTGTTCCCCACTATAAAATTAATCAACAACCTTATACATATAACTGGCAGAAAATGATAATGTTGCTGCCATATTTATTGAAATTCAGCTTAAAATATAAAAATACAAAACCTTTCAAAATACCATTTATAAAGGTTTATGTTTGTAAGATGTCCATTCTCTTAAACATTCAAATAAGTTATAGAGCCTACTGTATATATGCTCCCATGTATGAGACTGCTGCTTCATCCATTCATTCAACAAACAAGCACTCTACAATGCTAGGACTCGAGACTCAAAGACTACATAGACAAAAATGGTAACATTAATGAGTCTCTCCGTGTGTCAGGTACAAAGTGGGGAATTCCACATACATAAACACTATTCTGCATAACTCTTAAGAGTTTGTTGTTGTTAGGTGGCATTGAGTTGATTTCGACTCACAGAGACCCAATGTGACAGAGCAGAGCTGCCCCAAAGGGTTTCCTAGGCTGTAATCTTTATGGGAGCAGATCGCCAGGTCTTTCTCTCACAGAGCTGCTGTGTGAGTTCAAACTGCCAACCTCTTGGTTAGCAGCTGAGCACTTAACTATTGCACCACCAGGGCTCCTTTCTAAGAGTTTAAACCTGAAGAAATAGGTTCAGAAGAGTCTTGTAATTAGAGAACGTCAAGGCCAACATTTAAGCCCCCTCTATCTGACACCAAAGGCCATGTTCCACATTCTAATTCACCACACTACCTCTCAAAAGGAGAGTAAAAAACACTTTCAGTGACAAACCAACACAGAGTGGGAGCCTCCTCCACCCCACTCTTGCACAGGCTTTGGGCCTCCCTCCTGTCTCACAACCTGCCTGCATAACCATGAGTACAAGGCACTTTGCTGCTGCTAATATATCACTTCCTTTCATCCTCATTGCAGTCCTGTAAGGCAGGTATTGGCCACATTTTACAAATGAAAACCTGAGGCTCTGAAAAGTTGAGCAGTGCGACCAAGGTTATATGGCTAGGTAATAGAGCCAGAATTCAAATCCAGGTTTGTCTGATTCCAACTCCTGCGTCATAAACTGTGGGCATGTGCTAATCTGTATTAGAGAACCCCTCCCTTCCCTAAGCTAGATTTCACGAATTTTCATCATCCCACTTAAAGGAAGAGGGATCCAAGATGAGAGAAGAGTCCTAGTCTCCATTTCCTTAGCATTAGAAGGAACCTGTAACAGTTACTGGAAACAATCTTTGCAGAATGTATCCAATTGCTATGTAACTCATTTCTATCCAGGTACCTGGGTTGTCCTGTTCAGCAGTTACATTAGAAACCATTCATCTGGACAACCAGGTCCAGACTGACGTGAAATCAGAAAAAGGTGGCTGAACTAAACTGGATCTCTTATAGGTCCAAGCCATTGTATTTAGTGCCTGAGGAAAACCAGATGCTGCCCCAGCCCTGCCCAAGAGCATCCCACCAGCTGGGGTGACACCATCCTGCCACACCTGCATAGGCTATAGCATAAGGAAGAAGAAATCGTTCTTCAGGAAGCCATAAAGGTTCCTGGCAAAAGGAAGGCCCAGAGATATTAAGCCAAAGGACCTGATAAGCTGCTGGAATTGCCTAACAGCTACTAGTCTTTGCAAACAGATGTCTTCAAAAAATGCATCTTCGGTGGAAGAGATTAACTTCTCTGACAGGTCATTTCTTGTTGATAAGAAGTGGACGCTGTCCTGGGGTAGTCTGAAATTGGGACGTTAAACTTATCTTACTGCTAAGCAACTCAGCAAGAAACTTGAGTATTTGAGATTCTAATTCTTGGGGAAATCCCCAAGTTTTGCATAACGCCTTGACTATTTGAACATCTGGGCCACGCTATCTATACATCATTCTAAGGAATCATTGTAGTTTTTCCCTCACTAGACCCCAAATTTTGTATGATTTTCTTATCAACCTGTCTTAATTTTCTTAGACATTTAAGTGCCAAAGAGAGCTTCTAATCAGCATGTGATAACCAATGTTCCCAGAGAGTTTATGTAATTTACATCAAAGGCAAATGCATTTTACATTTTGGTAAGCCTGGGTAGCCTCACTGTAGGCACATACAGATTTCTGTTAGGTTCTTAAGTAATGAAAATAGTTTGTGGTCCTTCTTCAACCTCAAGGATCCAGAATGTCAGGCTGGGAGCCACTGCTCAGGCCAGAGTACCCACAAAAACGCAACGAAGTCATCCGGTCTCCCAAAGCCTTGGTTTTCCTCTTCTCAAAATGGAGGCTGTGACTACCATGAGCTCATGAGGTTTACCAGTTGCCATCGAGTCAGA